CGATTTAATTCATTTATATTAGGCCATTGGAAGGTTGACGCTCATAACTGAAGATGGATCCACGGTGTTCCCCTCTCCTGAACCCTTTCCCTTGACGAGATGAGCCGCGGCATGTTGTTTCATAAAGGTGAGAAATGGCAGCCTTGGGGGGTTCGTCACTTCTTGGAACGGTACCAAAACAACCTGAAGCCACTTTACACTGGATGTCAGTTTATTGCAATGACAGAAACTCTTACAATGCAAGGATAGGTAAATACATAAAATACTTTTTTTTTCATTAGAAAAAATTCCGAAACTCATGATTAGCACTACTGTATACTGTGTTAGGTCTTGATGTTTAGTAATTTGGATGATAATTTTCATTCTATACCCTTTTCTTTTTTTAATACCATGTTCAATAATCTTTGCCATAAATTGTACTGTGTACAACTGCCGTGTAATAAAGTCCTTCTTTATTGAATTTTTAATGAAATATTTAGCGTCCTGTGACTAATATTTCGTGTGTCCTTGTAAAGTTTATGATGTTGTTTTTCTAAGATGGCGTACCTCGGCGAGAAATTGATAAAACTGTGTATATTTTATTAATTTAGTATTTCGTAGATCTTCCGTTACACAACGGATCATAATGCCCACAGCGAGGGTCTTCGCGCTTCATTGAAGACGAAAAAAATGCCAAGATTTACATTTTGTATTCCGAAGATCTCAATATTTTGTGCTACATCTTGGAAACCAATTTCGACGGATCTCTAGCCGTTGAAGATTATACTTGAAAGACCTACACATATTCGATCTTCAATCCCATCTGCTCTTTGAACCGTACTGCCGCATCTATTTCTGATGAGAACCCAATATGAACTGTGAGACTTTATTCATGAAGGTTTGATCTCCAGTGGGCCAGAGTCCTTGCAAAAACACGTACCACAAGAGGACATTCAATAACCCGTACTCTTCACCTTACAAAAGTTACATCTGACCTATCCAAATGGCCTTTTATGCACTTTTATGTGGCCCTGACTCATGTACTTTCACCATAAAAGTCCATTTAAGCCCTAGGTCAATGGCCAGGAATTCGTTTCTAAATGTGTGCCCACCATATTAACTGTCAGGCTGTATTTTACGGTCTAAAAGACGGACTATTGTCTTCTTGTATGGAGCAATATTGCTAAAAAAGGGAGGCTGTCTCTCTTTGATCTCCAAGACTTGTCAGCACTTGGTATTTCCCAGAAAGAGAAACATAATGCCCGGTGTCTCTAGTATGTGCAGTTCCATTAGTTGGTTTCCTTACTCGTTGGCCTAGAAGTAAAAAAAAAATCCTTCAGCGCTTGGTTTTAAGTGGCAAAGTAGTAAAACGTGTAAACCCAAGGTGGCACAAGTCTCATAGACGAGGTTTCGAGTGTTATTGATGGTGACTTTTAGGTCAGCGAACGCGTTTTCGACGATATTGCAAGGGCAAAGCGATGGTGTATTTCTCGGTTTTATCACTCTATGATCGATAGGGAGATAGTTTCTTCTTTTGCGTCGACCTACATGCTCACGCTGCTCTGCCACTGTCACTGTCACTGTTCACAAGTCTTTAGACTTTGACCTTTTAGGTCGACAACCTGACACTACACGAAAACTTAATTTACCAACAGCAGTAAATACTAGTTAAGTTAGATAGTGTTTTTTTAAATAAACACTACTGGACTTTACAATAAAAGTAAATAAAAGTCAAGTACGGTGACTAGTGGACTTAAGAAGGGTTGTAAATAAAACTACCGGACTTGACTTTTATTTACCACCATTGTAAAGCCAGATACTATATACAAAGTAAACTTTATTACCTGAGTTTACTACCTTTGGTAAATCCAACTTTTCGTGCAGTGTGAAGTCCGTTCCAGTGATAAACTTTGACGGTTGAAAATACTGATATACAAGAGTTCCACGATCTCATACCTTCGCCAAATGATGTTAACCCTTGCGGTTGAAGAATTATACAATTTTGATAATTGATTTTGCAAATAAGATCCTCATTTGCATGGGTTATATCAGTTGATCATATTCTCCACCCAATGACAGTCTTATCTTAACAAAAAGGCTATTATAGCACTTCCTCATAAATTATGCAAATGAGGTCATGATTTGAATAAATTATGTTTATTGATGTTCGCCTTCACATAACTTCCAAATGTGGCAATTATGAAATTCTCAGCAGTTACAACTATGAAATTATAAAAATTTCCCATTAATTATGCAAATTAGGTCTTCATTTACATAATCTATATCCTCAGATGTTTTTTTTATTCTCAATTACATGTCACAAGTGTTTCATAGTCCTATTATTGAACAAAGCAGATTTATAGAATTTCCTCATTAATTATGCAAATTAGCTCCTGATTTGCATAATTGTCATTTGATTATGTCAAGCATCCCTTCAGGTACCTACATACCAAAAATCACGACAATCCGTCAACCGGTTCTTGAGTTATCATCCTTCGAAAATTTTTCAACAAATGCTCCTGCAGTTCCAGAACAAGCCACTAGGGGGCCCAAACTCATGTCACTTCTTCCCCACCTCAAGAGCTATCTACCAACCAAAATTCGTGACCCTAGCATGTCCAGATCGCGAGATATCAAAACCGGAAGTTCTGCTGCAGTACCAACAAAAGCCGCCAGGGGGCCCAAAATCTAATCATTTCTAGGTCTCATCAAGACCTACCCACCTACCAAGTTTCATGACAATACATATTAAGCTTCTTGAGTTATGCTGTTCACAAACAAACAGACAGACAGACAGACAGACAGACAAACGCTACTGAAAACATAACCTTCTTGGCGAAGGTAATAACTTGGGGCAATTTTATTGAAGACAACATATTGTAGGGAATAGCTGGTATTTTTCAAAAGTTATATAAGGGCACCATGATATTGGAAAACTGAATGAGTGAATCTTTATCTAAGCCCTGTTGGTCTTAGACGTGAATAAATAGAACCTTGGTGCTAACATTGTAAGAAACATCAGTTCATCGTAATCATATATGTATTGCCTAAGGCTTACTGGCGTATTTGCAGTTTTATGATATTCCTATGCATTTAAAATTATCATCAGGTAGTAAAGACCGCAAAGCCAAAGAATAACTCGTGACCACTTTGTTCAAGACACGGATATAATATCGACAATTTCCTTTATTATATTGATTTTACGTTGAGATTGAAATTTAGATAATTCACATTGAACATCACAGGTATGACCACGCCTTTCTCAAAGATACACTTTGTCCAAATACCACAGGATTGGGAGTCTTACTTACATATTCACATCATGAGTTGGCACTTTATTTGCCACAGACTCCAGATTAGAGTGCTACGTAGTAACATGACTGTTAATTCTTTACGATTGTAGGTAGCTTCTAATCCTAGACCTCGACTGCCCCCAGTTACTAGTGCTTTTGACTGTCTTATAAATACAGAATTACGACTGACACATATCCAGCAATCAACATATTCAATAGACACTTGAAACTAATACAACATTTTTATGATACAAGGTAGCATGTTGTAGTTTTAGGTACAAGGCCTACTATGTCATCTGAGATCCGTTTATAGTCCACATACATTGTATAGTTATTATAAAATATCAATTGATAAATATATTATACCTCACATCACTTGTACAAACCCCTTCGTATGCTGCAGCATACAGTATTTAAGAAAAAGATATCTACCAATGTTGATATTTCAACAACGCATGGTTCACAAAATCAGCAACATTGAAGGTCGAAAAAGAATGATTTCACGATACAAACTATTGGAGAATTCTCTTCGAAATTCATTCAGTGTACAGCACATGACAATGATTATCAGTCAAAAACTACGACACCAAGAAACTTTATAGTATTATTTTCTTTGCTTGGACATCAAACTTCAGCTGGGCAGCCATATTCATTTGTCAGAACACTGACGTACAGAACGGAAATAGGCATTAGGCCTGTACTTAGTTGAAGTGGAAAGGTATTATCAGATATATATGACATTTATTAAAGCTTCTGTGGGTTTCCGAACAAAATATTTGCTTCTAATGGACAAAAGTACATTAGAATTCAGGCCGTCACATCTCAACGAAAACAACAAAAGCTGCATGCCAAATGTTCACCCGATACTCGCTAAACTGATTCAACAGCGTTCTCGAATAACGAATGACTACACCACAAGAGTAAATGTGATAAATGATGTTCTCCCAGTTCTGGCAAGTTGTCACATATGGCGTTTGTGAATCCAATTTTAATCAAGGATGTACTGCAAAATATGTACTAATGACATTGATAACTGCCAATTACTGATGATATCTGATCAACTGGGACAAATTAATTACCAGTAAAATTGTCCGGTTTCGATCCTGCTTCGGATCGGAACGAACCGGATCGAAGCCGGATCAAAGCGAATCAATTCGGTTCGATCCGGACAACTTTATCCTAGTGGGAACTAGGGCTGCGGACCGGTACACTGTACCGGTCCAATACCGTAAAAATCGTTTCGGTACAGGTCCAAAATACCGGATCATGAAGTAACGAGTATATACCGAAATAGCTAGTTTACACCATGTATATGACTAAAGATAGGTAAATCCTACCACAAAGACGAAAAATTAGCACTGGAAAAGACGTAAACACCGTCGATTGATTTGAGATCCTCAGTCTCACGAGACATCGCGAGAGTGTGGCTGATCCAGGGTTGTGATTGGTCAACAAACTCAAATCAGGTCAGAGGTCAGTCATTTTACCTTCCCTCCAACACTTTATTATTGTTTCTGTGTCATGATTGAAAAAGTGAAGAACACGTGTTAATTTGTCAAATTGTTCAGGTACAGGTACAGGTCCGGACCTGTACCTAAACCTCTGTACCAGTACCTGTACCTGTACCTGATGTTACGTTTAGGTACGCAGCCCTAGTGGGAACGGGGCCTTAGTTCAGTTCAAACACTTTCGTGCTCGAAGTGAAATCTGACTTATTTCTTAGTAAGCCTAATGATTGTCATCCTGTAGAAAGTTCGGGTCGCCTGGTGAACAGTCATGGTTGGCCACCTCCAGCGTTGCCGGTGGGGTTACCGGTCGTGAATCATGGTTCACGGCCTCGAGCGTTACCGGTGACGGCAAGGGGCGCAGCAGCCTACTGTCCATAGGCGACTCCTGTCCCAACCGGCACTGGACCTCCACTCGGTCCTGCTGGTCAGCCACGGCCGCTCTTTTATAGGTAACCTTCGGCGCTTCGAGCTCACGAGGTGCTCTCCGTGGCATGAACGCTCGCCGAAACCCTTGGCGAAAGTTTCTGTTCAGTACAGCGTACACGAAAGGGTTCATACAGCTATTGGCATACGCTAACCAGTGCGCAATCGGGTAGATGTATTTGTACAGCACCTCCCTTCCCTGTTTTTCCGGTGGCGCGATGTCGTTTATCAGGTTGGCTATCCACATGGGTAAGTGTAGGCAGGCGAACAGCACAACGACGGCAACCATCATCTTGAACACGCGGACTTTGTTGCCGAGTTTCTGCACGTTGCTGCCGCGGTCGTTGCGAGCGTCGTTGGGAGACGGTTGGCGGCGGACCGTTCTGTTATACAGGCGGACTCCTGCGCGGAGATACAGGCCAGAAATGGCGGAGAGCGGAATGAGGTAACAGAAGACAAAGAGGGAGATGGAGTAGGCCTGCTTGCTATCGACGAAGTACCAGTTCTCGTGGCAGGTGGGATGTCCGTCCTCATCCTTGTACTCTGACATGACACCAGCCGGGATCATGATGGCGGTAGCGGCTGTCCAGATACCTGCTATCACGACACACGTCACCTTATTACTGATCTTGTCATCGGTCGGTCTCATCACAGCCAGGTACCTGGGATTAATGAAAAAGTTTGCAAGCTCTTGGCCGTAGGCTAATTGCAAGTACATGTAACATGAACATAAAAGATGGACAACAGGATGGATAACAATATAGTATGCAACTACTCTAACTACTAAACACTAGATTCTAACTTATTAAACTTTAGATATCCGATATGCTTTCTATTTCTAGTCAGTACAGGCTAGAAATATGTGACTAAAACGTACTAGGAAACATTTTGCAGGACGAAGGCAAATAAACTAATGTGAATTTGTCATTTCTTCTTATTATTATTACTTTGTTTTATTGTATCCTTTTATGTGTGAGGAGAGGGCTGAGATAAGTTTTATAACTTTTTGCCTCATCCTCGGAAAATAAATGTGAATAAAATAAAATAAACTAATGTGAACTATTGTATTACTTGCAAATATTTGTAGCTGTTTGCAAACATTTGCAGCTAGGTGAGCATATTTACTTTTTTGTCTTAGAACAAAAGTTTAGCATTTAAATTTGCAGCTTTTATATATCATTTGAGAAAGAAAGAAATGTATATATAAGAATTGAAATAGACATAATATATAATCTGATATTGATATAATCAAATCAGATAATCAGCAGAATCAACAGAATGTTAGTATCAAAGACGAAATCTCTTGAAATATGATTTAAACTGATGCCCAGTGGCCTTGAATCTAATGCGTACCACAAAAAACGAAAAGAATTTGAAAGCGTAAATGATACCATTAACGTACCTGTCCACAGCGATGGCGACCAGAGTGAGCACAGAGGCAGTAACTGTCATCCCCATGATCATTGGGAGAACAGTGCACATCACTCTTCCAAACACCCAGCCTGTGGAGGGAGGAAATATCTTACATGTTACCAAACCTAACCTGAAAATGCCTGGCTAACGTTTGGATCGTAGGAATTTGTCAAACTATCGTGATATCGTCTTCGAACAATTTTCAGCCAGGCAATCTTTATGGCAGAACCGACCTGTTCTGTCACAAGGCAGCTCAATTTTGAACGACATATACACGAATTTCATCACCTTTGTAAATATATTTCACGATTAACGTGATCGTGCCTTTAGTTGATAACAGATTGGTGATTTTTTTAATCTTTCACCGTATTCTTGGACAAATCCGCATTAAATGCCTGTACAGCCTGTGCTAGTCTTTGCTATGGCATAAGTGTTGGCCACGCCAGGAACAATCAGTTATGTCAGAAAGAATCAGTTAATCACACCATTTAATTGAGCATACTGGCAGATGCTGGCTGAGTGAAATTGGTTTCCAATCCTTTTAAGGAGGCACGGCCCATGTGCTTAAGAAAAATGTCAAGTAGATCTGGCAACGTGGTTAAAAAATGCCAGACTCAATCCACTTTTAACACTTTATAATGTGAAAAGCCAAAGAAATTTTCTGACGGCTGCCACACGACATTAAAGTTTGTACACGGCGAGCATTCAAAGGTGCAAACACAGCTAAGAGTTTCAGACACCTTATCAACGTAGAAGTCAACACCTTCAGCTCTGGCAATAAGGGTATACTAGTAATCATTGATTGGATTAAGCTTTGGACATGAACTGAAGCCTTTATCTGTTCATAAGATCATACATGGGAACGTGCTTGTTGGCCTCATGTTCTGTTTTAATTTTGCATAAATGTTCATCTGTGTTGTTGATATACGGCATTATGGAAAGAATATTTTCCAATGCAATGATTGGACTCACTAACTGTTCTTCCAGTCCTCTGATCTTGAGGATAGATGAAGGAGAGGAACCAAAGGAATCGATGTACATCCAGGCCTGCTATTGAATCTGTGTACATCAACGTTAACCTTCATTGAACCTGGAGCGAAAGGAGGGGGGGGGCTCTACAAACCACATTAATCCAGTTCCTCACATCACACAAGCTTTTGGGAAGGTCAACAGTCCTGAGCAATCGGTTCTTCGGTTATTCCGAAGGACAGCAGAGGACTGGTAGAAATTCTGTGAATAGAGTTCAATACTTTTTAACCTTTCCCATAAAAATGTTGTCTCCATAAATCGTACCTGCTTTCAAGTTGTTCACCAGGGTCAATGGCATACAGATTGCTCCGACCAGGAAGTCGCTCACGGCCACGTTGGCGATGAAGAGGTTGGTGACGTTCCGCATGTTCTTGTTCATGGCCACCACCAGACACACCAGCGGGTTCCCGATGACGTTCAGTAGGATCACCGTGGCGTAGCCAATGATCAGAAGGTACCGGACGTGTGGTTTCTGTTTCCATTCTTCCAAACTTGGATCTCCGGTGAAATTTGGTGGGGGCGATGAGTATGTGATGTTAAGATCCATTTTGTTAATATTGAATTCACTTATCTCCAGACGTTTAGTAGATTCTCTTTCCACTAATGTCAACGACTACAGTTTACAATAATTTCCTTGATTCGTTCTCAACAATATTTTCCTTGCAAAAATACTTTGAGCTTTACAGTCAATTGTGCCATTTATGAATATCCTGAAATATAGAATGACCATGCCACTGATTGGAATATAGAAGTACTCAATGTCAATAAAGGTAAAATTGCTGTTATGACTAAGGTATATATGTTATTAGTTTCTGGTGCCCAACGGTAAGATACTACAGTCGGTTGGTAGATTATGGCTTCAGTCTATAATGAATTTTTAAATGAACTATACATTAGGAAATGTTACAGTATCAATATTGCGGGGGTTTCTTTACAATATCTTTTATCAATGCCCGATAGAATAATTAATTGAATGTTTTGATTAATGTACAATATATCAATACTGACTATGGTTATTTTAATTTTTATGTTTCACGTTTTCTTAATACTATTAGGTAAAAAGGTATTCTACTTAGAATTTATCTCGGTTAGCCCTTCTCAAATATTAGCTGCACTTTGTTCACTCAGTTCCTTGCTAAAACGTCACATTATTCTATTATCATCTATATTCCCCTATAGCTATTAGTTTATATTGATGGCTTTAGCAGGGAAGACTTGGCTATTTTTCCACTGCTTCCCCTCAGAGGAAACTGATTTGAGAACTGATCCTTTTGGAAATGACAAGTATTATCTCGGTGCCGCATGTAGACATCCCTTCTTTTGCGTGAAATAAGTTCGTGGGCGTAGGGTGTTGGCTCAGTGCACCTTTGGGATATTATCTGAAAAAGAAAATGTCAACAGGACACCAATTAGAGTCAATCATGTAGAAAAAGAAATGAAGGATTATATACTAGTAATGTGCTTGTTAGTTCCAATCCCTGGATAGGATGAAAAGGGGTGTACTCAGTATGCTTGTTAGTGTCAATCACATGGAAAAAAACGGCGCCTTTCAAACTTCCTTCCTTGCCTTCTACAGTTCCGGAACAATTATAGCTACTTGAAGGTCACTAACTCTGTCAAAGCAATTGTGAAGCTAAAATGCTATCATTTAAAGTAGTCACTCACATGCCTCCCGAACTGTGCTGCTTGTTATGTGACATTTAAAAGAGTCTAAAGCAATGTACTCATGTGAGTCGAATTCTAATTGGAATCGTTCTAACGTTCTATCGTTCTAACGACCATCATGACAGGGAGGACCATATGGCATGAGCAGATTACTGCCCATTATTTCGTTCCCAACAGTTGCGTAATTGGCTTCTTCAATGTACAGTAACTTCCGGAGGGACAACAACCGCTAATTGGAAGACCTGCGAGGGTAGGTCATATCAGTCAGACACATGAGTGATCATATATAGACTCTACCAGGCTTCGGGAGGCGGCTGGAAAGAGTAGAATTTGGCCAAATAGAGAGAGATAACATGCCGGGGGAGTTGAAGCAGTGGCATGTTATCTCTAGGCATCCTATTGGTTCTCTGAGGGAAAGTGGTGGGAAAATAACCAAGTCTTCCCTGCTGAAGCTACCAATATGAACCAATAGGATCCCTAGGCATATTATCTCTCTCTATTTGGCCAATTTCTACTCCCCGCACTAAACATGCTCTCTGTCGCCAATAAAGTGTATAAAATACAGCCTGGTAAATGGTGAATGCAAGATTTTAGAGTAAACTCATACTCTTGTTTTCCCATAACGCACGGCAGGTTTCATATCTACAATATAACTCAGTATCAATCATTCCACTGTAGAATAACTGAAGCATTATTGCTATTTTGTTCTTCTATGCATTTCGATACGTTAGTATAACGTAAGTATATATTGAATACAGCCCACATATTATGTTATTCCTATCTACCGAAGGAAAACATATTTTTGTTTTTGCTCTGTTTCCTCTTCGTCTTCAAACCGATAAGGTCAATGACCTGAACCAGACGTCTGTCACCATGGTGATTGGTGTTGGGTTACATCGTGTTGCAATTTAGCAGGAAGGATTTAGACCTCTGTCTGACCATATATATATATATACATATATATATAAATGTGTTTGAGTAAGAATTAACAGAGTAGACCATATGCGAAGGTAAACATTATGCATTTGCTTTCCAAATTTTACCTTTCTAGTTTTATTTCAGTCTTTGTTAACAGTTTTACTGTCTATGTTCCCTGTCAATGGCCATGTTGGTGTTTCCTTGTGTTGTCGTGTGTCCTTGAGATTGATGAGTCGCGACGCTTGTGTCTCTCTCGGGAGAATTCCTATGTGGGACAGATATAATTGGCCGCAGGTACCGGAACTAAAGTTTTACAGGCTGCACTAGGGACTAGCTTGTTAGGAGCACTTCCTGTCTTTTACAATTACAAGCGTGGCGCGGCGACCGTTACTTCAATTTTTTTTCCATCAGGCCACATCAAGTAATTTTTATGGATGACGTCCGCGCGCGCATTGATTTTGAATGTTGTTCTGTCATCCAATTAATGTCCTTACATTTTTCGTCCTTTAGCATATGTCAAATCTAGGCATCTTGCTTTTTTCGGCCCGTTTGGTTTTTTATGCGCTTTCGATTAAGGGTCTACAGAGGACGTCATCCATAGAAATTACTTGGTGTGGCCTCATGTACGATCGGCGTTGTATTTTTCCCACGTCACCGGATGTATGGTATGTACCTTTTTCAGATTGCTGTTAAGTGTGTCCTTGTAACTTCACGGATTGCTTTTTAGTATGTCCTTGCAGTTGTTAATATTGCTTTTAAGCCTGTCCCTGCAACGTTTCAGATTGCTTTTAGTGTATCATTGTAGCGAACGTGGCTGGTTTATACATGAGTGTAAGACTTCTCTCAAGGACTATCCGTGCGCACCAGATATCCCGCTCAACGCAGTTGTGACTTCAACAGTAACGATCCATTACTTATATACACAGGAGTCCAGAACAAGGGTTATATAATAATATAATAGACAACTAACAACAGGTAAAGGTCCTGGGAGTCTTTTGAGGTTAAAAGAGCAGTAGGTCGTTAATCCACTGGGTCTTGACTACATGTATAGTATTGGAAGGTGGAATTCATTTTTCTCCTTCCATCATGTGCATCTTTTTACCTCCCCACCTGAAGTCAGGTAGGTTGAGTAGGAAAGTATCGCATTTCCCAGTGGCAACATGAGTGACGGGGATCGAACCCGTGACCGCTCAATCCCGTGTCAGGGTAACCACTTCATTATTGACTTCACAGCCAATAAATACTTGACTACAAATTCCCCCGGGAACTATGAAATAAGTCAGGACTTCTACAATGTCAATCAACATCTACCTCATGATTTATTGACTGATTATTAAGAAAAGTGACCACGGAAAATAACGTTTTAACAAAGAGTAAGAACACAGTGGACAAAATGTCTACAGAAATTCTTCAGGCCACCAAGGTAAAACAGATGCAAAAGGGAACAACCGCTGTGTTAGCATCAATAAATCAATGATGGAAACATCCTGGCGGCTCTACCGTATCAAAGTCATTAAAGATAATCAATAGCGGAGAAACCTTTGATCCTGTGCTTGTAAGTGATAAGGTTACTATATACAGTATCTCTTTGCCAATTATTTGTGATCGGTCGGAAGGATGAATGATTGATCTTTAGGATCACATTCACTCTGATGTTCCGTCAAACGGAGTCAACGTTTTGCGTCATGGTGATGATAGCATCCGCACATACGTGCCAAAGGCTTCCCGCCATTCCCAGAAGAGCCAAGAAAATCGCAAGTAACAAAGTAACAAAAATTCATTCCTAAGTCTGTTGGTCTACATTGAAGAGTTTTAAGATTTTTTTCATATTAGCATCTTGAAAATCATCGTCGTTGTCGTCGCATATCACTGGTTCAGTCATTGGGCTCCACTGTCTCTTGTTGTCCACTGTTAATGCTAGCCATTACTCCCTCTAGATCTCCTACATGTGTATCTAGAACCCAATCTTTATAATGCCCCACTCTACTACACTCCAATTTGCTACTTGGCCACGTATATTTCTCTTTCCTGCTCGGTTCAAGTTTAGAGCCACCCTAGATCTAGATAGTCTTGCGAGGTAAGCCAGTCGTCATATTTGGACTGACCAATCCACTATCTAACCTTTGATATGAGTCTATAGAGCGCCCACACTATATACCACCGCACACTACCACCTCTAATAATAAGAGCGAAACTGTTAATTCTTAGAAGTTCAGACATGGAAATAAGCATGTGTGTCCTATGGAGACTGCATCTTGTTTCAGCCTCCTATAATAACGTGAGGTGGTCACGGGGGATCTTGAGTACTTTCTATGTCGGCAGCACAGGTCAGTGCCCTTTTGTGTGTTGATGTTAAATGCCTCGGTCCAATGATGATCGATGTTCTTCACTCAGATAAGCACGAAATCTTAGACAAGAGTGAGTACTCTATACATAACCGTTCCTCAAGGAAGATGAATTTCTTATCTATGTAGATTTGCCTGTATATAATGAATATATATATATACTTTCAATGTAGATGGCTTACATAAGACATTACATTTTACTGACTGCAAGCAAGCGATAAGAACAAAATTCTTGGAAAAGACTCCGTAGTAAGGAGTAAAAAAAGGTAATAACATCACAACATTAAGACATTTGCAGTAATTTTGGCTCATTGTGTGCTGAATGTCATAGAGTAAAGACTCATTACATGTAAGTACAGGTACGATAAAACGTTTTACGGATTAAAACCGGTAGTATCTCAACTGTAAGGACTTAACAATGCCCGCCATTCAAATCACCGTGAGCTGAATATACCAGATTTAAAAACCATTAGGCATTACGAGCAATACAGGACCGCTTAGATTGGCGACAGAAGGATCAATGTGTTCTGTGTAATGCCTTTAACGTGCAGCAGCTGCACTGCCATAATCACACCTTTCATACCGCAGGCCTATGTCAGGGGATATGCACTTTCTGTGC